CATAAAAACCCTCAGGTTTTTTTTAAAAACTTACTATAAGGAATAACAGAATTCTCAAACACAACAAACAGCACCGTATTCCAAGTAACTTTTTGTAGTAGTTGATGCTACCTACCTACCTATGCTTTACTAGGATTTATGTAAGAAGATGAAACTTTGTCACCCAAGAACAGTTCGCTACTGGTTGTTACCGTATCCAGATCCGTATCCGTACACTAGAGAAAATTTATCACTTTGTATAATTTATTTTGCTACGATAAAATTCACTTTAAAATAAATAAAACAGTTAGGTATTCAATTTAATTGCTTTTCGCTTTGTATTGTTAATTTATTACTTCGTTATTCGTAATGAATAGCTATCATTTTTTTTTGTTATCTAATTTAATAGAACAACGTGTCCAGTTTTCGCTCAGATTTAATAATCAAATATCGACCACGATGGACACAACAAAAATGTACAGCAATATCTCATGATGTGGGTTGTTATCGCTTATGCACAGCAAGCAGACTCTACCTTTACTTAAGTTAAAGTTACAGCCTATATACCTACCACAGCTGGATGTGGATGTAACATGTTTGTGAGAGTTTTAGAGTAATTGGTTAGCCACCCTGCTCTGTTACGTGTTGGCGGACTTTACGTCTTTAGAATAGTTTTATTCCTTAGACATACAGGTTTCCTCATAATATTTTCCTTAATAAGCGAGTACGTTAAAGTTAAAAAGTTAAAGTTACAGCCTATATACGTCCCACTGCTGGGCACAGGCCTCCCCTCATTTCTGAGAGGGTTTTAGCAAGGAAGTGTCCGCCACGCTGCTCCAATGCTATGTTGGCGAACATCACATGTCTTCGAAATATTTTTTTTCTTATTTCTCAGACATGCAGGTTTCCGATGTTTTCCTTCACCGCCGAGCACGTGGTAAATCAGCACTTAAAATTGCAATTAACAATTTCATTGGTGCCGGCGGTAATCGAACCCGGTTTGCTAGCGTACTGTGAAATATACAGCGAGCGCTAACCATCTGAGCTACCACGGCTCCACGGATCGAACCCGGTTTGCTAGCGTACTGTGAAATTTACAGCGAGCGCTAACCATCTGAGCGAGCACGTGGTAAAATAAAAATAACATTGCTCACTTTATTCTTCTTCCTACATGTTCTTTAAAACAATTGCGTGGTCAAAAGTTATAAAACCTGGCTATTAAGTCACAAGTATTGGATTCAGCTAACGTCAAAATTTGTGCAAAAAATTAGTGGTTGATTTTTGCGACTAGTTATGTTTTTTTTTTGTATTTTCCTCGTGTGTCTTAAAATCCACGCCTATCTTTAATTTTTTCCATAGAAGGGGCTGCAAACGAGCATACGGCTCGCCTGATGGTAAGTGACTACCACCGCCCATGAACAACTGCGACACTAGGGAATTACATGTGCGTTGCTGGCCTTTCAGAAAGGAGTAAGCTCTTTTCTTGAAGATCCCTAAGTCGTTTAGTTCGTTTTAAAAATCGCGGGCGGTAAACTATCCACAGAGAACTCGTACGAGGAAGAAAACTCCTAGTAAAATGTACGGTGGTGGACCGCCATGCATCCAGATGGTGTGGATTCAAAGTCTGTTAGTAGTCTAGGAAGAAGTATTTTGTTTATATTTGTATTGTAACCGTTACTTAATTTACTTAACTCAGGGGTTAAGTGCTCACTGTAAATTTCACAGTACACGAGAAACCCGGGTTCGATCCCAGCCGGCACCAATGAAATTATGCATGGCAATTTTAAGTGCTGATTTACTTACAATTTTAAGTGCTCGGCGGTGAAGGGAAATGTCGTCAGGAAACCTGCATGTCTGACAAATAAGAAAAGAAAATATTTCGCAGACATGTGAAGTTCGCCAATACGCAATGGGGACAGCGTGGCTTAAATTTTTCTTGCCTTAAACCCCTTTCAGAAATGAGAGGAGGCCTGTGAGCAGCAATGGAACGCATATTGGCTGTTATATTACTTCACTTTTACATTTGTATTGAAACTGATACATGTGTTTATCCTGAGACACTGTAGGGTCTCGTGCCAAGTACACGTTCAACATATGTAAATATGTGTGTAAACTTGTAAGCGTGAGACTACAGTGTCTCTATTCAGATGTCAATATAACCTATGTTTTGCAGTTAATATTTTAAAAATAAATATATTTTCTTAATCGATAACTTATTTTATTCTGATATTATATAATTTTATATTATTTACTTATATGAAGAGATACCACTGAAAACTTGTTTTAATACTATTTATAAAATTATATAGGTAATATTAGCTAATTTCATATGATGCGACTGTGAAGCGAAATGTAATAAAACCCCTATTTTGTCTGTTTGTCATTGAATTTCGGGTCCGAGATTCATATACAGCATTGATGTACTTCTTATTAGTTTGTGGCATTGACATTCGTCACGTTGCTTTTATTTATTTCTTTACAATTTTAATAAAATTGCATGTGCAAAAATTTCCAATATGCGAAGATGATTACTATCCGAGATAGCGTAGATGCGCGACAAATCTTATTTACGTAGATTTCTCACGAGGTGTGTATTTTATCTTATGGAATGCGAGAATCTTAAAGCAGAACTGTACAGAACATACAATCGATTTAAAGGGTTTAAACTTTTATGAGGAATATATCTTACGTATTTCACTTGACAGTCCAATCCAAAAACAATACATTGCGGAAACGACAATTAAGCGTTTTCGTTTTACTTATTGTGAGATATGGTGTGATTTTTAAGAAATAATTATAATGACGGTCTATATATGTTTAAGTCATTATGTTGAGTTTGTAAAAGTTATGAAAGAAATAAATATTGAAATATTTACAATACTTTTAAAATTTGTTGAGGACAGTGCCTTATGATAGGAAGAACTGCCTACCCTGATGAGAACGAATTAAACTTGGACTGTACTGAATTGGTTTAATAAGTGCTACAGGATTTGACCTGATTATTGACCCGACAATGATTAATGATGATTTAAGATACATGATTGACTCGACAATGTAAGCGTGCGATTGTTAACTTGAGTGAAATCTTTCGCTTACATTGATGTAGTGAGATCGCGCGTTACCTTGTCTTCATCAAATTGTAGAAATAGCCTTGACAGCTAAGTTACGATACGATAGTTGAGCAAATTGTATATTTGCTTCTAGTACAAGTAATAAATACTTTTACACACAAATATATGTACCATCTATACTGTCTATCTACTATGGCAGTCATAAATTCAGGATCCATGTTTGGAATACCAAATAAGCCATTTGGTATTCCAAATATGTCACAAAATATTGGTCAAGTTACATTGAGAATTGTTGTTGTTCATTGTTGAAGACATAAAGTATTTGTGCCTGGATGCAGGACTTTGATCAACAATACCAACCTCAATAGAATGAATTGCTCTTATAAGCACAGACTTACGATATTAAAGTTTTTGAACACAGTCGATGAAGCTATGTATTTTTATGAAATAAAGAAACTATGTATTCATTGCTATCTCCTGTACAAATTTTACCGGGTAGTGGCAGTATAAGAATTTCCACTACCCCATAATATCCCGTGGGTACCGTAAGAGGCGACAGAGAGAAACAGCAGCAGCAGCGTCTTCCTGATAACAACAAAAGATAGAAACTGCGGTTATTAACTATGGTAAATATCCCTATAAGGCAATCTATGGTGGAGGTTTATATTTCACAATGGACATTCTGTCGAAATTGTAAAAGTGATGATAACCTAGGTGTGAACCGCACTTTGGATCGGAATAAATATCAGACCAAAATTAAACAGACCTATGGTGGGCAGTAGCAACTAAGGGGCAAGTTGTCTAATAATTCAAATGTCAATATGAGTACCAAAGCGTTGATGGCAAATCTTCCTGATAGGACTATTTCAGGCAGGGGATTGTATCTAAAGATTTCAATATTTATTTCTTTTGAACATTAATCGTTGTATTACATTAGGATTATTATAACTGTAGAAGGTATGAATTTGTTAAAATAATATATACTTTTATAGTTCAATGGTAATATGAAGGGATATATTTATTAGTATTTTTACAAACTCAACATAATTTCTAAAACATGTATAGATCGTCATTGAAATTATTTCTAAAAAATCATACTATATCCCATAATTTCTACAAACTCAACATAATTACTAAAACATGTATAGATCGTCATTACAGTTATTTCTAAAAAATCGTACTACATCGCATAATTTCTACAAACTCAACATAATTACTAAAACATGTATAGATCGTCATTGACATTATTTCTAAAAAATCGTACTATATCCCATAATTTCTACAAACTCAACATAATTACTAAAACATGTATAGATCGTCATTACAGTTATTTCTAAAAAATCGTACTATATCCCATAAAAAAGTAAAGTAAAGTTATTGTAAATACTTTACTGTTTTTTACTGTCCGCCGCGCTGCCCCAGTGCATGTTGGCGAATTTCACGTGTCTTCGAAATATTTTTTTCTTATTCCGCAGACATACAGGATTCCTCACGATGTCCCTCTGTAACGTATGGTAGACTACAGGCAACATACCGTTTCACCTTTCCTAAATTCTCCAAGTAAAATTAATTCGTTTTTTCAAGCAATGTAGAGTATTGTCTACACTCTCTTCTTTCAATTTAGTACAAGCATGTCAAACTAGATGTCGCTACTTGCCTCAAACAACGAAATATCGTTAGTGAAGTGAAAAGTTTCAAATGCTCAGAGTATGTTAAAAGACAAAAAATATAAGAAAATAGTTATTTTGTTTTTTGGTGTTTCTTTTCTTGATAATCTGTAAGGTAAGTGTTTATAGTTTACCATATTATTATATTTTTGCTGATAATTTACAGTTTTTATGTATTAGGTGACTATTAGTGTTTGTGTCTTGTAGGCTACATTGTGCGGAAAGGGGAACTATCTTGTACGAACACTGTGGATATTTACACTCGTTATTATTTTGTTTTAGCATGGCACACCAAATTCACCTAAATGAAAACGAAATCGCCTGCGCACTTCAATGTGATTTAAGTGAAGATGGACTCGACTTAGATGACGATAGTTTGATGGATCCTGACTTTGAACCAGATTTTGAAGAGTCGATTGACGAATCTTTGGAAGCTGAATTCGACATAGATGCACTAGTAGACACCTTGAATGATGACGACCGTAACTCCAACTTTGAGGTAGAAGTAGGGCCGGCCTTATCTAGTTCAGACATTCCAGGTACTTCAGATCCCCCTGTAAAACGTCGAAAGCCTGAAAAGCTAACATTACGGTGGAAAAAGAAGAATTTAGAGCTGAATGCACAGCAGCTGGCTTTTACTGGCAATGAGTCATTGAGTTCTGATATCTTGGACCTTGATACTCCAATACAGTTCTTTCTTTTTTTATTTCCACCAGAACTCATAAAGAGAATTTCGGAAGAGACAAACCTCTACGTGGTACAAAAAGACCCAAACAGCACGTTTCGTGTATCGGAGACAGAAATGCGTCAATTTATAGGGGTAGTATATATGATGTCACTGATTCAGCTACCCAGAGTGACCAACCACTGGAGTTCCGTCTTGAGTACACCTGTAATTCAACAGACCATGCCTTCTAATAAATTTGAAAAGATTAGACAATATCTGCATTTTAATGATAACACTAAATGTCTACATAGGACCCACCCTGACTCCGATAGGATCTTCAAAATTCGCCCAGTCGTTGATGCCTTGAACGAATCTTATGGTAAAGTTCCATTAGAAAAACAACTTTGTGTAGATGAGCAAATTTGCTCTACAAAAGCGCGTAACATGCTGAAAAGGTATAATCCCAAGAAACCGCATAAGTGGGGTTATAAATTATATGTTTTGAGTGGTGTTTCCTGATTTGCTTATACAATAGAGATTGAATCTGGCAAAGAGAATGTTGTCAGACCCGACGAGCCAGATTTAGGAGCTTCTTCCAATGTAGTAGTGAGATTATCGCGTATGATTCCGCGACACCAAAATTACAGGCTCTATTTCGATAACTACTTCACATCCTTGCATCTTTTGGAATATTTAGCAAAAGAAGGTATTCTTGGGCTAGGTACTATTAGAAGGAATAGAATACCTGACTGCAAGCTGTCGTCAGAAAAAGAGATTATGAAGAAAGATCGAGGATATTCTGAAGAGTACATAGCTGATGTCAACGGCGTCGACGTGTCAACGGTTGTATGGAAGGACAATAAGCTTGTTACATTGGCTTCCACATTTGCTGGTCTAAATCCTATAAGCGAAGTCCGGAGCTACGACAAAAAGAACTCAAGATACATAAACATCCCGCGACCTAATGTTGTGAGCGAGTATAACCGTCATATGGGCGGTGTGGACCTTGTAGATAGCATTATGGGCATTTACAAGATAAAACTGAGAAGCAAACGTTGGCAGATGCGTCTCTTCTATCACTTCTTAGACCTAACAATGGCTAATGCATGGCTGTTCTATAAAAGAGTCTGCAAGTATAAAAACATTCCCAACAAGACCATCATGGCATCTGCAGATTTTCGCCTGGAAATTGCCGAAACATTGTGCAAGATGGGGGTGAAAACGGGTTTAACAATACGCCGATCTATTGAAGGTCAAATCCTAGCAAAGAAACACAAAGGACCTGCCCAACATGTACCTCCACAAGCAGTCCGCCAAGATCAAGTCGGTCACTGGCCTCAATGGGCAGAAAAAAAAATCCGTTGTAAGTTCCCAAAGTGTGCTGGATTTACTCATACGGTGTGTGATAAATGCGGCGTAGCTTTATGTTATACCAAAAACAAAAATTGTTTCAGGAATTTCCATCTGTTGTAACTGATTTACATTCTTCTCAATTAAAGTGATATTAACTAATTTTTACTGTTGTAACTCATTGTTGCCTAGGAGCTACACTCCCTTTTTTGTAGTATTATGCTTGATTTATAAAAAATTACATAATTTTAAAAAATACGTATTTTATTAATTTCATAATCCTATCCGATTCCATGAAAAATATGTAATTTAAAGATTTTGAGTTATAGAGGGATATCTTCCTTCACCGCCGAGCACTTGGTATATCAGCACTTAAAATTGCAATTAACAATTTCATTGGTGCCGGCGGGGATCGAACCCGGGTTACTCGCGTTCTGTTATATTTACAGCGAGCGTTAACCATCTGAGCTAACACGGCTTCTACTATCTACTATACTATATCCCATAATTTATACAAACTCAACATAATTACTAAAATATGTATAGATCATCATTACAGATACTTCTAAAAAATCGTACCATATCTCATAATAAGTAAAACTAATAAAACGAAACGTAATACATCAAAATCGAAAATTCTTAATTTTCGTTTCCGCGATGTACTTTTTTTGTAATGGACTTTCGAGTGACAAATAAAGTATATTCTTCGTAAAAGTTTAAAACCTTTAAATAGATTGTAGGTTTTGTACAGTTTTGCCTTAAGCTTTTCGCATTCCATAAGATAAATACTCACCTTGTGAAAAATCCACACACATAAAAGATGGCGCACATCACCAGCCGTTTCGGATAGTAATTGTCTTCACACATTGCGAATTTTTGCAGATTCATCCTTATTGAAATCGCAAATAAATACAAAAAAGTAGCAACGTGACGAACGTCAATGCCACAAACTAACCGGACTTTCCGGATTCGTAAGTGAATAACAAAATAAGGGTTTTAATACGCTTTGTTCCACGGTTCCACGGTTCCACATTGTAAGTACTTTCCACGCACACATATGGACCTAAAACCATCTTGTTGGTTACAAATGATTGTATATGCATAAGTGTACGTGAGTGCGTATTGTTACAATGAGTTCAGTATGATTTTTGACTCCATTTTTCTTTCGTTGTTGGTCTGATTGTTGTTGGTCTGACTGTATGTTGTTGTAATAGATCAATGAAAAACTAACTGCTGGTGTCACATCTGGAACAATCTTTAATAATATAGACAGAAATAAAGAAAACACTCTGAATAAGTTTGAATGAAGATCTTGTATGAAAAGATAGCTTACTAAGCTTACTGCCTCTTATAATATATTATATATCCCGTTACCCCAGCTTGTTTTCTTTTCCTAGAGCAATGAGTTCAGTATTTATATTAAACTAGTTTGCCAGGCAGACGTTCTGCCCTTTTCGACGACCTTTGTCTTGTCCTATTAAAAATCTTTAAATTCGCAAAAAGAAATTGTGGGTCACTCATGGGCAAAAAAAACTATCCTATCTCTCAAGTTGGACCAAACTGCATAGATTAAAATCGGTTAAGTAGTTTAGGAGTCCATCGCGGAAAACAACGTGACACGTAATTTAATATATTAAGATGAACATGTTGTTTTCGACATATATTATTGTGTTGAAATTTGGATTTTTCTAGTATTTTATTAGTGTTTTAGTATAGTGTTTTATTATAAAATTGTAATGGAAGTTATTGTGTGAATATAATTTATCTTTTTACTTAAATAATTTCGAGTGATATATATTGAAATAATTGTGATTTTCATGCTCCCGAAATTTGCTTGGTATGTTTTGTTGTTGTCATCAAAATACAATAGTCTTTTTGTAATGAAGTAAAACCTGACTTTTGTATAGAGAATTTTGTATACATTTTATAATGCTAAATTTCTTTGTAGAAAAGTAGTCTCTTAATATAAGTTTTAATGGTTTTAAATGCTGCGTGTGGGTGCGGTCGCATGCGACCCCTCGGAATTTGTCGGGCGCATGCCACTGCATGCGATTTTTATTAGGATAAGGGGTTAAAAAGACCTAACACAAGTATTGTATGTTTATAAAAATTATCGCTATTAAAATAATTTGGAGGAATAAATATTTCTCTCGCAGGCGTAACAATAGTATAATTTAGAGTTTTCGTAAAACTTTTACCACAAGATTTTCTAAAGAAAAATTTAACAATTGATGAAAATGAATAGTTTAAATTATTAATTTCAAAAAGTGAAGTTGTTTAAAGTTTATAATTAACAAGGGAAGTTCTAAGTAAATTCAATAAAGTAGATACGGTTTGAATGAAATGGACGCTTGTGGAATGGAACTTAATAGCACAATTTTGCATCCCGATAGCCACATTGCTACTAAGTATAAAATAATCGAATACCTTTTATTCAATATATATTATATTATTACATAGTACTTAATCTTACCACTAGAACGGAAAATACTTCTGTCTCGAGAAAAGTTAGCAATAAACCCAGCAAACCGATTATTTAAAAGATAATACTTGAGTACAGCATATTAAAATTAATGTATAATTACAGTTTACATACGTCTCACTATTGGGCATAGGCCTCCCCATAATCTAAGTGAGATTTAGGCCAAGCAAGTGTACGCTGCGTTGCTTCAATGCGTGTAGGCGTACGTCACGTCTTCGAAATATATTTTTATTTCTCAGAGGAGCAAGGTTTCAATTTTACTTCCTTCTAAACCGAGCACGTGGTACACCAACATTTATTTGCAATCAACAGTTTTTCAGGTGCCGTCGGTTCGAACGCAAAGCGTAATATGAAATCAACAGCTAGCACTTAGCTCTTGAGCTAACTTGGTTTCTTTTTCTTTGTTTTTCTCTCTCTTTAAATGTATAATCATTTATTTTCAATATTCCAGAAACAGCTTTGTAAGAATCACCCGATCATATAGTATAATTTTGGTTAGTTATAATAATTCATGTAACTATTTTTTAATATTGTAATAATTATTTTTATAGTCTTATAGGATATGAAACTTTATAATGAGTGAACTATGCAAGTGCAAGCGGTTAACCACTTTCTGTAATATTTTGTAAATCATATACATAACATAAAAACGTGACGCAAACCTTTTTAAGGCTATGTTTAAAACGAATGGCACATATTTTAGAACTTATGTTTTACAACACAAATATTGAGCCTACTACCGATCATATTACGAGAGTTACATTGGAAAAGTGTTGGTAAAGTAATTAATCTATTATATTCCGAGCAATTTCAGATTAAATTTAAAGTGGTCTTAATTGTTACCATCATTTACCACAGGTATACTACGTGATGGTACGAAGATAGCTTATGTTTAAGACTGTTTATGGATGAAAGAAATAAATACATTTATTTGAGATGAAATAATTATAAACACACGGTAAATAAATCGTTTTGTTACATCAGGAAAAAAGCGGTCCAGGTGCGACTCGAAAGGTCTACACGAATAACTTCCCAGTGGAAAGAATAAAAAAAAATATCATATATTTTATACAATTTTTCATTCGACAAAAAAACGGCTTAACCGATTTTGCTCAAAATTTAATAAGGTCTAAGTTACATTAGTTACATAGTTAATTACGCGTTAAATGAAACTGGTCCCATGCCAATATAACTCTTTGTTCTCGAGATACATACATACATACGTATACGTACATGTGCACACACGGACATCATCATTCTCTAAGCCATTTCCCATTATCTGGGGTCGGCGCGGTAAATCTTCTTGTTCCATTCCACTCTATCAGCCGTCATTTCCGTACTTACTCCTTTCATTCTCATATCACTCTTCACACAATCGATCCATCTTTTATTCGGTCTTCCTCTGCCCGTGTGTCCCTCCACATTCATATTCAACACTCGTTTTGTGACATGACTTTCATCCCTCCGCATCACATGCCCAAACCATGCCAATCTGCTTCCTCTCACCTTTTCTACCACTGGCGCTACTTTCAGGCTTCCTCTTATATACTCATTCCTTATCTTATCCATTCTTGTCACACCACACATCCATCGTAACATTCTCATTTCATTCGCATGCAGTCCATTTTCATCCTTCTTCTTGACGGCCCAGCATTCACTTCCATACATGACGACAGGTCGGATGATCGATTTGTAAATTTTCCCCTTCAGCCTTATTGGCATTCGGGGATCGCACGTTGTGGCTGTGACCTGTCGCCATTTCATCCACCCTGCGTTAATCCTATGCTGCACAGCTCTATCTATTCCGCCGTCGCCTTGAATGAGGGAACCGAGGTACTTGAATTCTGAGCAGGTAGGCAGTATAGCGCCATCCAACGACATGGGTACAGGACTGGAAAGACCGCCGAAATCACAGCACAGATATTCGGTTTTGGATCTGCTGATCTTCAAGCCAACACTTTCCAGCCTCTGTTGCCACCCCGTCAGTCTGCTCTGTACCTCGATGCCTTCTTCCCCGACAAGCACGATGTCATCGGCAAAGAGCATGCACCAGGGTGCCTCATCCTGCAGGTCCGACGTCAAAGCGTCCATAATCAGTAGGAAGAGGTAAGGGCTCAATGCCGACCCTTGGTGCAGCCCTACCGCCACATCGATACTGCCCGTAGTTCCCGCGGCAGATCGTACACATGTACGGGATGCTCTGTACATAGCACGGACTAACCTCACATACTTCCCAGGCATACCTTTCATCTTTAACGCCCACCACAAAACCTCACGGGGAACCCGATCGTACGCCTTTTTCAAGGTCGACAAAAACCATGTGCAGATTTTTATGCACGCGCTTGTACTTTTCGCACAATTGGCGTAATGCGAAAATGGCATCTGTCGTACCTCGACCGGGCATAAATCCGAACTGGTTTTGTGTTATCTCACACTCTTCTCCCATTCTTTTCTCTATTATTCTTTCCCAGACTTTCATCGTATGTGACATGAGTTTTATTCCCCGGTAACTGCTGCAGTTTTGAACGTCTCCTTTGTTTTTAAAAATGGGGACCAGTATACTACTGCACCATTCCTCAGGTATTTGTTCTTCCTGCAACAATTTACCGAAAAATAAACTCAACCACTTCCATCCATCCGC